ATTTTCAATAGCCTTTTCCCGCCCAACAAAGCTTATCTAGAATTAAAGAGGTCATTCAAAAGCTTAATTAGCGGGGGTTTCGAAACTTTGTTTGATTTTCAACAACGCCTCTGTAGTACCCTGTAGCAGCAAAAACAAAAATACGTTTCACATTCGGTTTGCCTTTTTGCTCAGCTAAAATCTATGGATAGCTTTATTAGACCACACTAAGCTCACTCGATAGCACAAGTCTCGGCAAATTATGAGCATGAACTGGTTTGTGAAAAGGTTTTGTGGGAACTTTGAGAGCGAAAACAAAATCGCGTTCCACATTCGGAGTTTTTTTTTGCAAATAAGAAATTATATATGCACAAAAAGTATATAAACTTGTAAAGAAAATCACGTTCTATCAGACCGATACAAAGAACCTAGAGTATTTCTCGAAATAAAGAAAAAATCTCTGTTCAAGAACGAAAATCGCGGGTCACTGGCGATATCGATTATGCTCCGTCCTCAAAGGGGGGGGGGGCATACAACAATGCCACCAACTCCTCCCAAAGGCTTTACATGTTTTCGGCCAGCTAAATTATGAAAGAATTTGTAACCAACTAGGCATTTCGAAAGATATTTAGCGATAGCAAAACTTTGAGCCTTGAGCGGGAGCCGAACCCGTGTCTCATCCTAGGGAGGGTGCTTCGCAACTTCCGTCTTCTACGCGGAGGTCGAAAATTTTGCAAATTACTCGACATTGCTTCCTATGGAAGGATAAAGGATAAAGCTCTCGGCATTGATCAATCCCTAAAGGACACGTCATGCATTCGTCTTCAATTTCTAGCTTCGTTTGAGTTGATTGAATGCATATCTGGTCTTCACAATGATTCGCGGTGGCTGACCGATGTTCAAGTCAGCGCTGCCTATCCTTCCAGACAAGTCTGGGATTAGTATGCTTACCAATTACCGACTCCAGAGGGATGCATGGCTTCCTGAGCCATGAGCATACGATCGAACAATACCTAAGGTGAAAGGGAGTTCGACGTTTCCACTCGGAGAGCCCAGCTAAGAGTGAACCGTACCAGCAATGATCGCCGCATTGATAGCAACTAGTCGCAAGGTGGTAATCTCCCCCTGGACCACAAGTACCAGCGACTGCTCTAACGCAGTGATGACTTGAGGAAGCCCCGGTTAGGCTTACCTCAGAACTCCACGAAACAAAACACCTAAACCAGCAGTTTCTCTGTGCTGCTGGAGCTCGTTACTATCGGTGAAAAAGGACCGTCTAGATATCCAAGAGTACACATGACCTCCTATTTGTGAAATATTCTGGAGAGCGGATGGCACGACTTCAATGAAGAGCACCAGAAACCTCAGCATTCTTCTTCATCCCCATGCAAACGGTAGATAAATCGATATCGCAGGTGGCGCGCGATTTTCGTTATCTAATAGAAAATTTTTTATTTGCTTTGGGCAAAACTTTAGAGTTTTCATGTCACTCTGATGGCAAAGAATTTCCTCTATACGCTCATTAACTTTTAGTGTATATATGAGTCCTATATGCGAAGAAAATTTCGCATATAAAAGTAATACTATTTACGCTCTTACAGCGCACTATGAAGACCTTTTCAAAAACCAAAAATAGCTTCAGAACCGTCGAGATTTATGCTATCGAATAAGTTCCAGTATAGTCTTATAAGCAACAATCCGTAAATCTTAGCCAATCAAACAAAGCTGACCAAGTGTAAAAAATAATTTTGCTTTCGCTTTTACAACCCACTAAGGAGGCCTTTTCAGAGAAGAAGCGCGATTTCGAATTGTGAAGATCTCAAGCTTTCAAATGACTGGTAAAATTCTACAACAAAAGGGTTTGTAGAGCGAAAAAAAGACCTCTGGCAAATTGAGCGGTTCGAAAGGCCCTTGTTCTTCACCGTTGGCAAAGGGTTATGGACTTGTAGATTTGTCCTCGTTTAATGGCACTGAGCAGAATTAGTTCAAGCCACTAATTGAATAAATTGAAAGATGCGCTTTGGAATTTACTTTAAAAGAGTACTGCTCACTGTTAACAATTACATAATCAAGTTCTCCTCCTGAAACTGTAAAAAAAATAACGTTGAAATGGTCGATACTACTGACCTGAACATCGGCGATCGACGTCCCTGGTGGGAGTTGAAGATAGAATTGCCGATGTTTGCCATCGCCCATGTCTTGTATGACTTGAAATGTCTGTAAAAAAAAGTCTACGACAGTATTGATTAACTGACTGACGATTAGTCGTGATAAGACCTTCAATCCAACTGTAACGCAATATTGTCGGGCGGGATTAGGTGCTGTGTTTAACCCTTTACAGACGACGAGAATCATTTTGACCCTCGAATTGTCAGTTGTCTTTTCTCGCTTAACAAAGCTTTTTACCTAGATTTTGAGTGATCGTTCGAGAGCCTAAATTTGTATGATTCTATCATTTTGCTCGCCTTTCAAAAATACCCTAATAGTACTCTCTAGTAGCAGTAATAGAATCATGTTCCACACTCAACTCGCCTTCTTTGCTTAGCTAAAGTCTATGGATCACTTTTTATCAAACTACTTTAGGCTCATTGGATAGCTCGAATCTCGGCGAATTTGATGCTCAAGCTAGTTTTCGAAAAAGTTTTCATAGTGCAGTGTGAGAGCGAAAATAAAATTACGTTTCACAACCGAAGTTTTCCTTGCATATAGGGGGTCTACAAGCACAAGAATATACCATCTTGTAGAGAAAATCATGCTCTATCAGAATGACATAAAGAACCTAAGGTATTCCTCGAAATAAAGAAAAAAATCTTTGTTGAAGAACAAAAATCGCGCGCCACAGGTAATATTGATTACGCGGCCGTCCGTAAAGGGTTGAGCCTCTTGCCAACAAATTTTCAAACTATTTCAATCGTGTTCCTTCCAGAAACAGTCTTCGTATAAATAAATTCAAAGTAATAAGCAAGATAAAGAAAGGAATAACGGGGTGCGACTAGAGGAATTAGGAGCGAACCTGAGCGCATTCGGTCTTCGCCTCGCAAAGCTCCGCTTCCTGTTGTTGCTGTTGTTGGTGCTCATGTTTCTGATCGGTCGACTTCAAATAACGAGTTGATAGATTATTTCGCTGCTGTCCCTTATCAACAACACTCCTGAAAATTGAGGAAATTAACCAGTAAGGAAACAATCAATAGATCAAATCGGTTTGGTCGTGCGATTTCCGGATTTGATCTGATCCGAGAAAAAAGCCCCCCGAGAGGAGAATTTGGTCGAATACTAAAATCACACCGAGATGCCTTACAGATGAATCCGTTGGCGTATCTCCAATTATACTTACATGTTATTGGCTGACGATACGTGGAACCGGGTTGATTGGCGGGCACGTGTGCGACATCCAATCATAATCGATGTGCACGACCACGCCCCAATCTGACCTCAACACCAGCGGACGTCACCGGACCCAACGCTAATTAAGCGACCATCAACGATCAATATTTATGTAAAATTCGCCAAATTTTCAATCGAAAAAATTTTTCTGAATGAGACGAATCTGTAATCTCAACCAAATATCCAGGCATTTCACGAGGAAAATGGTTTTCTAATTGTGGCGGTCCTGCAACGAATATTGTAGACGGTAACTTACTGCTTTCACCTCCTGCGGGGGATTCTTGCTTTCTCTCCTTTCGTTTAGTGGGGCAATATCTGCATGTTAACGAAGTGATGTCGGAGTTTTGGACTATATAGAATAATTTTAAGAGACGAGAGATATTTTTAACACCAATTTAGGTCTAGGAGCGCATGGCGCAGTGGTTAGAGGTGCTGTGCGGCCGGCGCATACAAGGTCCATGGTTTGATCTCGCCCTGATGGTGGGTGGTAGAAAGGGCTCAGATGCATCTGCTTCGGTCAGATACGGTTGAATGGAATGCTTCAAATATGACAATTTGATAATCACGAGATAACGAATTTATAGGCCATGGACGTGGATCGTTCCACATTCCTATAGTGATATGTTTAAATATCTAAATGTTTGTAAATATTGGAGTTTATGTGGCGCAGGGGTTGAAAATGCTCTACGTGACAAAGAAGGGCGATGGTTCGATCTCCCGCTCATGGCTCACCAAGCTATCCGTTCTTTCGTGGTCGGTAAACTGGTACCGGACTAGTGCCACCATTGCCTGGGAGGATAAGCAGCACTGACTCGATACAGCGGGAGGCACCACGAGCCATTGTAAGGGCCAGATATGCATTCAATCACCTCAAACAATGTTAAAAATTGAAGAGTAATGCATGGCCCTCACCTCAGGGATTGATCAGCGCCGCGAGCTATATTCGTAGGTGTCAAACTACGATGTGCACGGACACGATATTCATCAAACCTCTAGGGTTCTTACGTGTAACCCAGTTAACCCAGAGGTAGAGGTAGAGGGTAGAGAGGTATAAAGAGTTTGAGGTTGAAGGGTAAGCCAGAAATCCTATCGCTGTATGGAAATATCACAGGTGATAATATCACTAGCTGAAAGGTGACACTTGGGAGAGCGCTGGTACGATCTCCAAGACTCTACTAGACCGAAGAAAATTGCGGCCACTACATCACAATAGTGGTCAAATAAAAGCACTGCCGATTCATCTGGAAAGAAAGAGTGGACACAAATCGTTGGCCTTGATGGTACAATGGTAGCACGAGCGCACGGTAAGGGTTAGATGCTAGTTCAACTCCCAGCTTGAGCCGACATTTTTCGTATTACTCAATCTCCATAGATGAATATTCAAACATCACCCGCTACTATAAAGCAGTTATATTCAAGGAATCACAGGTCAGCACTGCTGATTATCGTTCGATCTCCTCAAGGAGGGGAACTGATTTTTTGGGAAACTACTTGGTGATCACATTACCCGAATGTCATAGTGAAACATTCTATTCTGTACTGCAAAATCTCCTCCTCTAGATATGGCCGCGTTATTCACAACTTTCGAATCGTTACTCTATACGAGTATCCACTGATGTCGATTAATGTGCAAAATTTGACGCCAGGCGGGAATCGAACCCGCATTTCACCCTTTCGGAGGTGCGTGCTAGCCAGTTGTACTGCCAGCGCCTGTTTTACCATCACTCCTTCGACGTTACAACGTATCAATCTGTCAGGAAGCAACCGTCAACGGTTTGGCCTGGCAAGCCATATCGGCATTTATCCCAGTTAAGCTGACAGATATTGGATATATATGATCAACAAGAATTCTTTAATATATAACCGCTTTTTAGCGGTGGCATGATGTTACGAATTTACCCAATAATACTCAAAAGTTTTATGTTCCACTGCTTTTTTGCAGTCCTACGATGTTTTAAATACACTCAATAGAATTGAGTGGTGAGCAAAAACTTAACCTCAGCCAGGAGTTGAACCTGCGCCCTCAACCATACCGGGGCACGTGCTACCTCTACATGACCGAGGCATCGTTTCGCCATCACTCATTCTTCAATGTCTCTATCATAGCTATCAGCCACCAACCTTTCACAAGTTTGTTCGGGCAAGCATATACAGTTTATAAACCCAGTTTAGCTGAGCTATGATAGAAACAATGAAGAAGAAGTGGTGGCAAAACGGTGCTTCGGTGATCTAGTGGCAGCACGCGCCCCCCGTATCAGAGATAAGCGGGTTCAACTGCCGCCTGATGTCGAATTTTTGCTCACCACTCAGTTTTCATAGGTATACCCAATAATGTTGGCTGATGTGCAAAACTTCGGCACACGCTTCCGGAGAGGGTAAAATTCGGGTTCGATTCCCGTTTAACGTCAAAATTTTGCACATCATTCGACATTATTGGGTATGTGTGTAACAGCATACCATCGCTATTTAGCGATTAAATACGAAGAAATCTTGTTGAAATCTTTCACAATTAGGCTGAATCCAAATATATAGATTGTCCAACACTACATGAACATCTCAGCCCTACAGTTTGATTCATCGTCCTTCATTAGTCGTCCACGCAACGGTCGCGTTCTTATATGGATGTAATTACGGCTCGACGATCTTCTTCCTTCTGTCCTCATTGAGACGCTGAATGCCAGTTCATCGCAGTTTTTCGTGGAGTGCCGAGATAGTCGTCGGTGCCAGTGCGTTCTAAGATCTTCAGCACAGCTCAGCCACTTACCGCCCGTTTTAAAAGTTTTTTGTCTTGTGACTGGAATACTTTCAAAAAACAGCAGCGATTCCTACGAATAGTCAATCGACTAACAGAAAAGTTTGCATAAAGTCGAATATTTTAACTGGTAGATTGCTTTATCCTAAAAATCATAGTTTATTTGGATAACCTATTTTGAACAAAGCACGAGATGCTCCTGAAGGTACAGTCCGCGTCAGCTTTTTGCTTCTCATCAAACAAAATGAGGTACATATAACATTTCAATCATTGACCGGCTTTTCAAGCAACAACTGAAGTCGGACAAATGCTCATATGCAAATACCTAAGAGAATTGTGTGTTGAGCAAAAATTCGACCTCAAACCGGAATTGAACCTGCGTTTCATCTATTCCGTGGACGCCTGCTACCACTACACCACCAAAACCATAGCTTACCCACCACTCATTCTTCAGTATATCTCTATCATAGCTGCCAGCCACCAACTTTTAGAATGTTTGGTCGGGTAAGCAATATTGCTTCATGAACCCAGTTCAGCTGGCAGTCACAGTGTATTTTTATTTTAAGCTTCACGAGGTTGGTATTTTTTCCGCGATAATTTGATTTTAAATACATCATCCTAAATAAAAGTGAGACTCTAAATGTCGCGGTGTCGCAGGATTTGGTGGATTTGATATGTGAGGCAAAATTCTTCGAACACAATTAATTCAGCTTCGCCATAAATATGTGAATATCTTATGGAGCGATATTATGTTGCGGAGGCAGCATGAAGCATTTACAATCCACAAATGCCGGATTTTCTTGACTTGTATTTCTTTGATTTCACCGCTCTTTAGCAATTGCATTATATCGAAATATTCATTTGAGAAGATTGAGTGCTACGCAAAAATTCGACTTAGACGGGAGTTGAACCCACGCTTCATACTTGCCGAGGTACCCAGGATGAGACGCTGGTTCAGCTCCCGTCTGAGGATGAATTTTCACGTACCACTCAGTCTTCTCAGATGATCTCCTGATATAATTATGATTTTGTTCTTGAGATCACTAAGACTTCTTGTAACATTTTACTATAATAAAGGAATTGAGGATGGAAAACTCTGTAATCCATCATTTATCACTGTTGACACGCAGTCAAACCTACGAGGCTTGTCGTCAACTAAGAACCGTCATTCACTTCCTGAACGTGCAGTTCCTATTAGGAAATGATTTACCAACGTCACTGTTGAGATCACATTTCTTGTCTTTCTTTACACTACTGTAATTGGATATTCAAAACCACTGGGATCCAAATTTACTTTCGATGATTTCTTCAGTTTCTTAGCTGACAAGTAGGATCCATATGACTTGTAACAACGAATTTGAACAACACTTCTCTTTAGCAAAAATTTGAGAACAACTCCTCTCTCATCTGCGTCTCTGTTCGCACTTGTAACTCTCGAAGCTTAGATCAGTGAAGTATAGCTGTTACGCGCTTTGTTATTAGAAAAGAGGACCCACATCGTAGTGGTGACAAACGTCACCATGGTGAATACTGTTCAGCTTGTTTGCAGTATGTCCTTTACATGCTCTTCTCCAGCGCTATTACGCGTAAATAACGCTATCGGCTTTGATCAATTCTTTACGGATGCGCTATGCATTTAACTTCGTCAGGAATCGTTTAAGATGATCGAATGCATATTTTAATTGAATGGCTTACGGTGGCCTACCGGTAGAACATGCTAATTCTCCTACCAACCTAAGCAACTCTATAATCACGAAAGCGAGGAGAGAACCAATGACAATATGTGTAATAAAGAACACCCTCCATCTACTGCGCTACACTCGCTCCCCATCTCGTAAATATTTTGCATAAATTCCACCTGCGTTATTTATCAAAGGTTTTAGTTTAAACTTTTCTAGATCGGCCATACAAAACATAGCGTGGCTCTGGAACTACTGCCAGAAGTACCATTGTCAATATTTGTTCGGAATACCTTTCGTTTCGAGTGTTTTCCCAAGACCACGTTCAGAGCGTGGTCTTAAGAAAACAATTGGAACGAAAGGTATGATATATTTAATGATACCAGCCAAGAGCAATCGAGTGCAGAACACTACCATTTAGTGATATTTTCATTTACTGGCACGTGTGAAGTTTTCGTCTTTTCCACTCTATGTAGGGGTTGGGTTCCCCGAGAGGATTGGCTATAGACGAAGAGTACTTGTTCGATTGACGGAGCTGTCAAGGCAAAAGCACGTGTATCGTGCTCTACAAGTTGCCCTATAACAAACCACATGCATGGCTCAAAAAATGATTATCAGGCATATTTATTAGGAGTTTTATTGACAACGAAAAAAATATTTCGTACTTTCATAATTATCCTAACCACTTTTCTCTGATAGGTAATAATTTTCTAAGTAACACAGGTTAAAGGTTGATATAGTGTGATTTATGAGCAGATAATGATTCGCCTATTTGAAAAATCTGTTTTTCTTTTGATTCCAAGATGTATTTTCTCATATATTTCGTTCTTAACCTTGTTTCGTCCATTTACTTGCTCTTTATTCGCTTTCCACTGAAGAGTGATAATTTGATGGTAAATAAATCACCGAGATGTATTGGATTACATCAGTCTAATCAGCAAGATGCACTGGATCACATCAGTCTAGAAAACGCTATGGTATTTGTAGGCTTTTCTCATTCCCTATTCTAATTATATGGCGTTTTTGCTTCGGTATACTGTTCTTCTCAGAACTTATAAATGTTGTAATTACTTTGTTATTTGTTGTTTGTTACTCTGATTATGACCTTATCATGGCTGTGAGATGCTACCACGTGCCAGCTGTGATATAACAACGTATATTCATCTTCCAGCAGTATCTCGCAAGCTGAGAATTTGACATTTCCATTCGGATGCCCAGGCAACACTAAACCTATACTAGGTATAGTTTCCTTTCCGGGAACGACGTAGTCAGTAACTGGTAAGTGGTCACTGCATGTGAAAGCTACAAGCACGAATTATGAGGTTTAAACATGAAGTAATTGTGGTCAATTAGCAGCTTGCCACTTCAATGAGAATTTTGCTAAAGACCGCACGACTTCTCCTGAACAGTGAAGGCAAACTATTGAAGCAATTTGACAATGTATTTTGAGCTTTTCATGAGTTCTGTTATGGACGCTTATACAGCCAAGGGCACGTGTTCGTGTTTCGTCCTCACAACGTCTTCGATTGCACAGTGTCTTTTCGTCCACTCAGTTCCTCGGGAATCTACCCCTAACATAAAGGAATCAATGACGAATTTTTACACTTAATGTACGCTGGAACAATCACCGTGATATTTTTCCAGAGTGTTTCATTGTCGAATGCATGCGTACGGTTGTTACGTGGGCATATGTAACAATCAATGCAATTACTATTTCGAGACCTCGCTCAAGAACAACATAATATGCGAATCCGTTTTGAGCATTTCATTAGGTTTGTTGTAGGTTCTTGAGCGAGGTCTCAAATAGTCGATTGAATAAATATTAAATATGCTCACGTAACAAACGTACGCATGCATTCGACAGTCAAACCCTTTGAAAGAACGCCATCGTGATTGTTCACTGTATCTTGAGTGTGGAAAGTTCGTTGTCGATTTCTCTATGTAGGGAGTGGATCTCCGAGAAATTGACTGACTGGAAAGACACAGTGTATATGAGGAGCTTGGAACGCCGGAATACTCTTTTTGCATTGTATAAGTGTCCATAACTGACCTCATGAAAAGCTCAAAATACATTGTCATATCATATTGTTCTTGAGCGAGTTCTCAAAATGGCCGACTTCATCGATTGTTACCTATGTTGAAATTATGTTGGTGTTTATGCATGAGTTTCCTGCTGTTCTAACCCCGTTCAACACCCCTTTCTTGATGGGTGACATATGTCAGTTATACTCTCACCAATCATGGTTGACGAGAGATATTTGCATCGAGTTAACCAAGTA